CAGTGGGCTGGAGCAGCCTCCAGACGTGTGACTCGGGGCGGAGGGGAGGTTTTTTGTGGTCCCTAGAGCCCGGTGTGCTGCGGTTGAGTTGCTGTGGAGCGAAATTCTGCTTTTGAGGCTTTAAATTGGTTTGCCAAGGATTTAATACCGAGCTGGAGGTTCAGAGGTCTTTCCTGCCTGGGAGCGGAGGATGCCTGAGGGAATACCTGTGGTCTTGCCTCTCTTTGTCGCTGTCTCTTCAAATCGCCTTTTCGGCTAATGGTTTTTTGCCTTTAAAACAGACGCATGGCTGTATCTCGACTGACTCTTGTCTCTTCCTTTTTAAAACAGTATTTAACCAGGCGTATCCCTCAGAATCCCAAGTATCAACACATAAAAACCCGCCTCGATACTGGTAAGTGAAATCGTCGCTGGGGAAAAACCACTAAACGTGAATGTAGGAGTTATGCAAAAATATGCTGAATGTCTTAGCTGCCTCTGTCCTGAGCTGCTTTATCAAGCTAATATCTTGATAAGGGTGTAAGTCGAGATAATTATTTGGGAGTTGTTGGAGGTTTGTTGTTGTTCAAGCAATTGAATTTTATCCAGTAACACCTGCCCGTGGCATCCACACAAAAATGTCAGGGAATGGATGGCGTGGCCGCAGCTGCCCTGGAGCAGCGTGTCAGAGGCAGGATTTGAACACCAGGGTCCCGGTTTCAGCGCCCTCAGAGCGAGGGCTGTAGCGTACTGAGTTTTAGGCTGTGGCTTTCTGAAGGTGATGACTTTGTTCTTCAAAGCATCGTCAAAACAACTTACGCTTTTGAGTAGAGAGGGCTTGCTGTGGAACTTGTAAACAGAAAGAGTGCTACGAGGCTGTTTTGGGGGGAATATCACCATTCTGACTAGCAGGGTGTGGAGATTTTGGTATCCCTTACTGAAAATCCTGTAAAATGGAACTCGGGTGCGTTCTGTAGAGAAACTGGAACAGCGCTGTGGGTGCGTGCAGCAGGTTTGAGCTGCCGGTCGTGAACACTCACAGTGACTTCCCCTCTCCAGTACAGAGGCTTTGGGCTACGGAGCACTGCCCGTTCCCAGAGGTGGTTGGCGGACAGGGTCCAGCAAGTCCTTTGACTGACTTGGCTGTGTAGCTCGGCCACCCTTGCGAGAGAAAGGTGCCGAGGAGAAAATCGAGGTACTTCTTGGTTTATGGCTGCTTTGAATGGTGAAAGAAGATCTGCAACAAACTTTGTTATCACAGTCTGATCTTTTCCTTGAAAAAAAAATACTTAAGCCTCAATAGGGCTGAAGAAAACCACTAATCAAAATTTGTAACAAACTGATTTTTTTTTTTTTGTTGTTCTTACAGGAAACAGTTTGACAAAATACACTGAGAAGTTGGAAGAGATCAAAAGAAGTGAGTATCTGGAAAGGAGCAGAATGTAACTTGGGGTGGGTTAGTTCACAACTGAGAGAGCACCGAGGAGCAGGGGTTGAATCCCAGACCCTCCGTTTGCTTGGGAATCTCCACTCCGATGGTTCCCATGTGTAGGAGTAAACTGTAGAAATGGGCAGCAGTAAGGTACAAAGATGCTTCTACCTTGATTCTGTGCTGCGCACCTTGCGTTCTCTCCCGTGCCTCATTTCTCTGTCTCTCGCAGTGCTGTGCAGATTTAACTGTAGAAACCAGGCAGGCAGGCCTATGAGATTTTCCAGATCCCTTTTTTTTTGGTGTGAATTTTGTTCTTGAATGGAAACCAGGCAGGAAAAAGTATTTTGGATTAAGAGAATGTGACTAGACTCATCTGGGAAGACTCGGGCTGCGCTTCTGAGAGTTTATTTCATTGTTAGGTAACAATATGGTTGAACTTGATCTTTTACCTTTGTGTCATTTTAGTGTACTTAGACTTTGGGTCGGAAAACTCCGCGACAGAAAAGAGACAAGCTCGTTCCTGTGTAACTCATTGGTTTCACCAGAATCACATTGTTTACCACCACAATATTGGTGTTTTGAAGACTTTGGGTCATTCAGGCTAATGAAAGCCTCGCTGATTTTTCATTTCAGTCTGTCTTCCCACTGAAAACAGGCTGCTTTATTTTTAATTCTTACTAACAAAGCTACTGTTTTACTACTTCCTTTTCAGCTACTGTCAGGATTATTTTCACAGAGAGACTCAGTAAAACTATTAAACCCAAAAGCTGCATTTATTGATGTGAAAGAAAACTCCTCCCCGTTAATGAGGATTAATTAGGATTTTGAATGTTCAGTTTTAGTTCTTAGACCTATTTCCTGAATTCCTCTAAGACGGTAGTGTTCAGATTAGTGACCTCCATTGTAATCTGTCACGTAAATATATTCATGCTTGGCTTTGTGCAAAATAGTTCTTTGTTGCTGGTTGGTTTGTTGGGTGGTGGAGTTTTTTTTTAAACACCACAGGTCTTTTGGGGAAAATCCAAAGAGAAATGACCTTGCTTTCCAAAATCCTGTGTGGACTAAGATTTCAGTGCTTCACGCTGGATCTCCCATCGCTTTTTATCTGTGCTGAAAATCTTGTTGTATGGGTCTAGTTGGTTTTCAATCCCTGCTGTGAATCTGAGTGCGTTTCTTTTGTTTAATCCTGGGTCTGGAGTTCAGTAGCAACTTTCTCATTATCTTTGTGCTGAATAGACACCTTGTGTTCCCAGGCAGTTTAGAAACTTCTCTCCCTTGATTTCTCATGGATAGATGACACCGTTTGGACACAACTTTAAATACCCAGTACAGGCAACTCTCTGTCTCTTGTGTAACGTTAGAGAGTGGGACTTAATACCGCGAGCCTGCCGTGGAATCAAAAATGATAAGAGACCTGGACCCGTGATGATTTGTCCTTTGCAGGACTGACTTGAGCAGAGACACCAAGTCTCTTCCCTTTCTCTGGTGTAGCTTCACTCATTGCTGAAGTCCCGAGGAACCATCCTCCAACACACAACAATTACAGCTTCAGACCAGTTCCCTGCAGCAGAACCCAAAATGTCAGGAAATCCGAACGGACCTTCCAGGACAGAACCGGGTACGTCGTGTCGCTTTTGTAGTCGGGACCAGCGCTCCTCCCGAACTCTCTGTTAACCGTTGGGAGGCCGGCGCAAGGGTTCCCAGTGGTTTGCTCCAGGTCAGGCTTTGTAATAACAACAGTTTGGGGTTTTTCATATTGAGAGAAATGTTTTTGTGTGGTGACGGCAAGATCTGGGTTGTAAAGGCTTATTCTGGGATAAATAATCCGTGCTTGAGGTAGGTGGAAACCGTCCAGCAGCTGGTTTATATAAGCACTGTGACAATGGTTCTGCTGTGTCAGTGTTTACATATATATCCAGCACTTCGCAAGCTTTGCTGCTTTTAGTATTCCTTCTAAATTAAATGTCTTCCTTGCTCTTCACGTGACTGAAGGGCTCCCTGGCCACGGCTGGGGCGTTGTGAGCGTTTGGACATGGGCTACACCTGGATTTTGTGTCAGGCAGGTGAAACGGGCTGTATAAAATATACTTGTTACTGTTATTACCAAGTTTTAAAGGAAGGCTTTAGCACCCTGAGCTTAAGGCTTGAAACCAGGTGGTTTTGCAAGAACCCTGGGGGTCGTTTTCATCTTAATTGTCATTCTGAAATCTGGTTTGGGCACGGGTTTTCCACTTCAAACCTGTGGTGTGGAAGCTGCGGTGCACTGGCGTGTTTTGGATGGGCTCCTTCGTTGTAAGGCAAGTTGTCTAATAGTAACTAGGCACTTGCTTTGCAGCTTAATAAACATTATATAGGGTAGGATGTTGAATTTGGGTGCTCTTCTTGCTCCGAATGCTGAAAATTAGTTGGCCTACCTCTGCAGGAATGTATGTAAGAGGAAAGGATAGGAATAAAAAGAAACCCCCTAGAGATGAAAGCTCACCCTTTCTGGTTTTGTGTCTGTCCTACTGTAAGGGGCTGTGTACAGGGACAGTCTTGTCAAGCAGAACGTCTGTCAGGAGGCGCGCGATCGCCGCTTGCACTGGGAAGGGATCTCGGCCTCCAGCGCTTGCGTGGCTCCTTCTCTAAACACATGTCAGCTCGAGAGCTTCCACAGGCTAATTCTGTGCTAACTTTTTGTGCAGTGCTTACAGGGATGTGGATCGGAGCCCTTCGCCCTTCCCCCCATCCTCCCTTAAGCGATGGAGCATGCAGCAGATGGTTTTAGAGGATTTGGAGTTGCTTAAGTGGCTGGATTTGACAAAGATCCTGCGCTTCGCTGTTAGCCCTCTGAGCTGAACAGCTGGAGAGAGGTTTGGAGTAGCTTCCAACAGTTGCTGAAGTTGTTAGGAAAAACACCGAGGATTTTTCTTTTGTTAAAAAGAAAAAAATAATCCGTGGCTTCGGAGGTGGAGCCTGGTGAGGGAGGAGGAAGAGAAAGCAGGAGCAGGCTTATTTTTTGGGAGAGCTTCGTTTCATAGAGTGGCTTCAGTAGCTCCGTGCAGAACTTGGTTACAGCTGCAGCACCTGACACCGGAGAAATTTGGCCGCCATACCCGAGAAAAGTTTGTTTTCTTTGCCTTTCCCTGCCAGTGCAGGAGTGATCATCTTTATTATTTTTTTTTTCCCCCCTCTCCCATGCTATCTTCTTTCTAGCCCTAAATTTCCCAAAGGACGAGGCTTCTGTTTCTTCCCATGGGAGGCTGTTTCACATCAAGATGTTCCTACTGATACTCAGCTTCCCTCTCCTGCTACATACACCCTTTTGTTTCACGCTGGAAGGCTTCTCCCTCCCTGGTGTTTACGCATCTCGAATATCTGTGTGCAGCCAGACTTCCACCCTTGCCAGCACTGACTTAGCGCTGTTAATCTCCGCTCCGGTGGTTTGCCGGTCGTCCCAACAGACTGCTCCGTCTTCTTGCGGCCTAAGCTTTGTCTTCAGCCTTAAGACCCAATTAGTCCAGTTTTTCCGTAGCAATTATGTGTGCTTCAAGACCTGCTGTTCAGTTTGCTTGTGTGCTTCAAGACCTGCTGTTCAGTTTGCTGTGTCAAACGCCTTCTGTCAGTTATCCCTTCCTTTAGATATCCGTATTAGGGCTTGGAATTTATGAGATAACATAAGAAACCCCGCAGCATTTTAATCGGTAAGTTGAAACAGGCGTGTTTAGTTTGGGGTTTGAAAGGGCACAGTCTCAGACACAGTGCCCCGTGCTCTGCTTCTGCGGTGACACACAAAAGAAAAACTCAGGTAAACTTTGGTTTAAGAGGCTCTCTGACCGTAGCAGGCTTCAGAGAACAGCAGGTGAGGCGGTAAGTTCCTGAACCTGCTTCCTTCCCCCGGTGAGCCCAGAAAGCACAATATAATACAGATTTGAGTCTAAAAGCAGCTGAATCTGCCTTCTCCGCTTGACTCGTATCTGGACAAGGTCTCTATAACTGGTTTTACTTCTCACCAAGCTGTCAGGTGGGCTTGTTCAGCCTGGAAGCACCAGCTTAATGCCCAGAAGTCCTGCCTTGTTGGAGAAGAGAGTGCGAGAAGAGCTGAGCCTCAGCCTCTCACCTGCTATTGGCCAAAGCTGGGAATTAACTGAAAATTTACCTTGTCCTCTTCTGTTTTGTTTTTGAAGATTACAGATATAAAAAGGACGAGCTATTTAAAAGACTGAAGGTGACTGCTTTTGCCCAGTTGGTATGTATAGTTCCCTCTCTGGCCTCATTATCTTCTGTGAACAGCGTTTTGGCTTTGTCTAAAGCCTTTTACATAGTTATGTAAAACTACGATGAAATGCCTTCCTACGATGAAAGGCTGGGAGAGTTGGGCTTGTTCAGCCTGGAGAAGAGAAGCTCCGGGGAGACCTTATTGCCCCTTCCAGTACCTGAAGGAGCTACAAGGAAGCTGGGGGGGAATTTTTACAAGGGCCTGTAGTGACAGGACAAGGGGGAACGGGTTTAAATTGAAAGTGGGGAGGTTTAGATTGGATACCAAGAAAAGATTCTTCCCGCAGAGGGTGGGGAGGCACTGGGACAGGTTCCCAGGGAAGCTGTGGATGCCCCATCCCTGGAAGGGTCCAAGGCCAGGCTGGATGAGGCTTGGAGCACCCTGGGCTATGGAAGGTGTCCCTGCCCATAGCAGGGGGGTTGGAACTGGATGGTCTTTAAGGTCCCTTCCAACCCAAACCATTCCATGATTCTATGTAGCCTTAGTGTGTAACTCTTCCCTATCGACTTCTTCCCTCCCTTGTACATTTCCCTTAATAAAATCAAACATTCAGGCCAAGGTTTTCAGAGTAGCCAAATGCTTTTATTTGCAAATTGAAGTTCGTAGCGACTCTGTCTTTAAAACTTGTCCCCTTTTTAAAATTTCCTTTAACTTAAGAGGAAGCCCCTTACAAAAGGAAAGGGATGTGTAAAGTACTATTCAAATCTGATCTCATCGAGCTTTGTGTCTGGTAGCCACAGCCTGAAGCTCTCCCTAATAGCAGTTTTAACGGCAGAGGATGGGAGGATTGTGGCTTCAAGGCTTTCTGTGTATTTTTTTTAAATTAAAAAGTAATGAATCGAAACACTAAAAAACGGGAGATTGCTCAGTAAATGTAAAGCTGAGTGTTCCTTATCTTGGTTGAAGAAAATTAGTAAAAAATAGCAAAAAACCAAGCGTTCTTCTGAGGAGGGATGGACAGGGAAGGTTAAACTCGCAGATATTGGAGGAGTGGGTTTCTGCAGACTCATGTCTGTTGTTCCACTGGATTGTTTGTAAGGTTGGGTGTTCTTTTTGCCACAACTTTCCTTTAATAAACAGACAGGCTTGCAGTGCAGGTGCCATAAATGCACCGCCACGTCACCTTGAAGTCTGGTATAAGTTGCATTTAGTTAAATGTGTTTTGGCCTGAGGATTGTTTTTCCTTAAGCTGATCCCCCCTGTCTTGCACTGACACCGGTGCCTGCATATCAAGGTACCGTTGCTTGCTTTTGTTCCCCGCAGGTCGTCCAGGTTGCTTCTCTATCTGATGAAACCTTAGAAGTGACAGATGAGGAGATCCACAAGCTGGAAGGTAACAATATTTATTGCAAGCACAAAGAGAAAGAGCTGTAGGTCGCTGTCATGCGGTGAACCAGGTCCTGGCAGACGTAGTTGACTATTCAGCAAGTCTTTTAAGCAGGAAGGGAAAAATAACTTACCCTGTGGCCTGCAGCCATCCCACGTTGAGAAGAGAAACGCTCCTGAAACGGAAAGGCTTGCAGATAAGAAAGGCCTCGTGCTGCCAACTTACTTCACTGTAGTAACTCAGGAGATATTCGTGCATCAAGAATTAAATTTTTACTGAATTCTTAAAATGAGCTCTTGAGTCCTTAAAAATCATATGGCTCTCTCTTCTTTTTAATATGAGGCTCTCAGTAAGTCATTCTTGTAAGAGGATGAAGAGAAGGCTGTCTTTGAGCTGCGCTTTCTTCTAAGAATAGAAGCTGGGCTTAAAACCTGTTTATTTCCTGCAGGGTTTTAACCCTTTGTACCCTGTTCTCTCCCCAGCTGGTGATTTGGCTGCTCCAGATGCAGATGCTGAACTCACGGCAGGGACAAATGGGAAAGGAAGCCCTGATGGGACACCCAGTCCCGTCCTGTTTGTAAACGATGCAGGAGCTGGGGAATCCTATCGGTCTACGCTGCAGAGGTGCCTGATAATAATACACAGTTTTCTTCCCGTCCTAGCAGATAATTATTTTTCCCAGCTAGTTATTTTAAAATGCTACTGAGTGGCTTTATATTGTATTTCTCATTAAAGCCTGGTTTTGCAGATCCTGGAACGTGAGCGAGAGAGAGGGTTGGCAGGCTTTCCTGCCTGGATGAGTTTGCTTTGAGGCTGTAAGCCAACGCTGTTGCCACCTGATGGTTGTCTAAGTGGTTGACAGGGAAATCAGAGAATCACAGAAGGGTTTGGGTTGGAAGGGACCTTAAAGATCATCCAGTTCCAACTCCCCTGCCATGGGCAGGGACACCTTCCATAGCCCAGGTTGCTCCAAGCCTCATCCAGCCTGGCCTTGAACACTTCCAGGGATGGGGCATCCACAGCTTCTCTGGGCAACCTGTCCCAGTGCTCCCACCCTCTCCAGGAAGAATTCCTTCCTGATATCTAATCTCAATCTCCCCGCTTTCAATTTAAACCCGTTACCCCTTGTCCTGTCACTACAGGCCCTTGTAAAAAGTCCCCCCTCCAGCAACCTGGCTTCAAGAATCCATGCTATATACTGCCCTGGTAAACTCAGTAATGTGCCTTCCTGATGATCGTAAGAGATTGTCCCGTGGTTGAGAGTGTAATTCCCAACCACCCCATCACTAGTCGGAAGAGTGGAGACGCTATCCCGACAGGCTTGGTGATGGCGTATCGATTTATTGCCCGCTGAGAGTATCGGGAGGTTTCTGTTCATGTCCTATATCCAGAGTAGTGATGAAATGGGAAACCTCAGCCCAGCACAGCTTATAGGTGACTGACCGTTACTTATCATGTCTGATTTACTGAGATCTTGATGTTGGCAGATTCTTAGGATTATTCTCCCTCACCTCGAAGTTTTTTAGGACATAGAACCCCTGGACTTGACTGACCCAGAAGTGTGGTATGTTCACATAGCAAGGCTGTACTCCGCTTGTTTTTCGTATGGATAACAATCGAATCAGTCTCTTGTGATGTACTAGAAAGCCTGAAGTAGGCTCTGTCCGTGGTTTGTGGTGTCTGGCTGTACTGGAAGGTAAATGGGCTCTGGGAGCAGTTGATGGAAACGCACTCTGACCTGGTGAAGAGGTACAAAAGTGGTCAGAGTGACCCCTCGCACCATAACCTCCTCTCTCCTCCCGTAGCGTGATCAGTGGCGTTGGGGAACTGGATATAGAAAAGGACACTCCAAAGAAAGCGGACGCTCAGGCGAAAGACATGCCTTATCCCAACTGCCCCTTCCTGCTTTTGGATGTACGGGACCGGGATGCATACGAGCAGTGTCACATTGTTGGAGGTGAGGAGGCCAGAATCACAGCAGCCTGGTGTCGGCCGGCTCGTCGACTCAGCTTTTTGTGTCGTGTTCTGGCTGGCTTCTTGTTTTCTTCCCCCAAGGTGGGTGCAGGATGCTCTCGGCTCTCATCCCGTACACCCCTCTTTCCTGGAAGGGGATGAGGGGACCGAGCTGACCCTTATGCAATGGGTTCCCAAGGCTGCCAGTTGTATTCCTGGTTGTGTGATGCTTCATGTTCAGCCACTTTATGGTCTTTCTCTCTTTTTTTTTTCTCTCCTCTGCAGCTTATTCCTACCCTATTGCAACGCTGTCTAGAACCATGAACCCATATACAAATGATATTCTGGAATATGTATCCTTTACATACAAAGTGCTGGAATGAAAAAATGGAAACTGAGGGGGGTGTGGGTGGGGGCTTCCAAAAACAATTGGGGCTGTAGTGGTCACTGTGACCGGGGAAACACTTAAGCGACAACATCTGGGAATGTCAAGGAGCGTGGGAAGGGAAGTCCTTCACGGTGCCTGCTCCACTGCCGCTGTCAGATGCTGCGTTCTAGTTCCTCAGCTCTGTTGGGAGCTGCCTGAATTTGGCTTTTCTTGGGATTTTTGGCTACTGGAAGGCAAAGCCGTACTTGGGTACCTCCCCCCCCACACACACTGTTACTGGAATGCTGGGCTTCTTGAGGGATGAACCCTTTGGCTTCCTCTCAGCACCTTGATGGGGATTGGCTTTCCTCTGGAGGACAAAGAGGATTATTAGCTAGGATTAGGCTGATAGTTTCCTAGGTGGTTAGCTTGAGGGCTGCGGAGAAGGGAAGTTGTAAACAAAGGTACTTCTTGCTATTACCTGCAAAGCAGTGGATGCTTTCCCAGGGGCTGCACTCCAGTGAGGGTTGGGCTGTGTCCTCCCAGGGTCTGGCAAGCCCCAGCTACTGAGAAATCAGCCAGAAAGCACAAATGAAGGGAAGGCATCCCTACATGAGGGAATCACTCCATCTCCAATCCCATTTGTTTGTCTCTTTTCTTTCTAAAAGGTATTAGTGGTCACCTTAAGCTTACAAATCCTTAGCTCTTCTGCCAATCAGAAAAATGCACATGGAAAACTTATCATTTTGTATGACAATGACGAGAGGTTAGCCAGCCAGGCTGCGACAACCATGTGTGAGAGGGGCTTTGAGAACTTGTTCATGTTATCTGGAGGTAAGCAGGGGTGGGCAGGACTCCCCAAGATCTCGGCCAGGTAGATCGAGAGCGGGGAGCGAGGGTTGTGTGAGCTGGAGGTTGGGAAGAGCTGGATATTCAGCTCTGTCAAGTGTTTGGTGTGTTATCGGTAAAATCACCGATCCCATCAGCTGGTGGTCACTGGCAACGTGTGATCTGTATGTCTGCAGGCCTGAAGGTCCTTGCGCAAAAGATTCCCGAAGGTCTGATCACCGGCTCGCTCCCCGTGTCCTGCCAGGTGGCAGGTCCCGTTGGATCTGCCCGAAAAAAGACCTCTCCCAAAGTGCCACCCGCACCTGCTGAGAGTAAATGGAGGTTTTCTGCAGATGATCTTCAGAAGATAAAGTACTACCTAGAAGAGGAGCACATTCCTTCAGACACTGCCAGTAAGACTCCAGAACAATGTTGCTGCCACGTTATTTATCCGTTTGCTATATTCTTTCCGTGAGATGGCTAGGAGAGGGGGAGTTTTCTTCTGATCTGAGAAAATCCTCCAAAACCTGTGCTATGCGATCCCAGAGGACTCAGGTCTTTTATAGCTACGTGATGGCAAAATCCTGGGCCCGCAGAGGGCAGGCATGTACCATTCTGTCCACTGTATTTAAATGTCTTTGAATTTTCCTGGTTATTAGTAAGTTTTTCAAGTTCTTAAGCCTGCACAGCTAGAGAGACGCTGCCCGGAACACCCCACTGAATTATGGGTCTGTATGTCTGCAGGGAGAGCTGGAGAGCCAGCAACAGGCAATAGATCATTAGTGTGTCCTTGTGCTCTACCACACACACAGCTTCTGATCCTTTTTTTTTTTTTTCACCCAGGCCGACTTAGCCGTGGTTCTTCAGGCCGCAATGCCAGGGTGACAGCCATGAGGAGCAACCCCAGTCTCCCCAGCACCGCCGGCAACGTGGGATCCCTCAGCGCCCGCTCACTCAGCAGGAGCAGCCTCCAGAACAGGCCGTGGAAATAAGCAGCGGTGTCTTCTTCCACTGAATAAATGAACGTCCAGGTTCTGGGAACCCTGAGCAGTGCAGCCCGTTTGTCGTGTTAGGAATCCGCAGGGAAAAGCAGCGGTGGTGTATAAATGGCAGCTCGGGTAAGGCTGGGGGAGCCGGACCGGTTGGCGTTTCGTAAAAAAAAGCTGTGGCAAGGCTGACTTTTGGGTGCAGTGTCAAGACAGAGTTGATCTACCTGATTTTGTAGGGGAGGGAGTAAAGCCTGTGACCAGTAGAAACGGTTCAGACGAATGAATTTACGTCTGTAACAAATGCTCTCCCTGCGCTGTGCCCGGAGCCGCAGACTCTGCGAACAGGAGGACACACCTGAAAGTAACTGGGCCAGAAATCATCTGTGAGCAAAAACTTTGGTGTTCTGTAGCAGAGACACAGACGTTCAGCAACTTGCCAAAACGTTGGAGAGGGGATTCCCTGAGGCTTTTTAAGTCATGTTAACGGACAGAATGATTTAATAAAGATGTCTTTGGAAATAATGCCCGGCCTGGCCCTGTAACCTGACAGCTGTGTTCACTCGTGGACAGTCTGTGAAACAGTTCTGTATTTTTAAAGGCAAACTGGGGGAGAAAAGGGCTGTGTTTTCCCTCTTTTCTCCCTTTTGTCTAGAAGGTTTGGCTTCTAACTGTGCTTGCTCTGCTTCGTTCCTTGCCGCGGTGGCGGAGAGCTCCTGTGTGGTGGTTTTCGCTCTGAGAGTAGATAACGCTGCCAGATGGGCTGAGCAGGGGTTTAGCTGACGTGTCTTAGGCCAAAACCCTCCCCTGTGCCCCTCCTCTTGATGTGCAGGCAGCGTGTCTCCTTAGTTTGACTGTGCACCCGTGGCTCGCTCCTTTTCCGACTTGCCGGAGCAGTTTGCTGGCCTCTGGAGCTACGGAAAACTGCGACGTAGGTGGAGGAGCCAGTCGCCCTCCCGCTGATGAGGCCGACTTCCCTACGTGTCGTACGGGCAGCTGCGAGTCAAGGTTGGGAGGCAGAACATCATTTTGCTTCGTAAAATGCTTTTGTGATGCTTGGAGGCCAACTTCAGTGCAGCGCTTCCGGTGCCTGATGGAGGCTGGGAATTTATTCCCAGTTACACCCTTGCCAGTGCTTTTGGAGCAGCTTCTTTGGGTGGCTGAAGGGAAACTTTCTTCTGCCTTCCCACCAGGGTCCCTAAAACCTGACCGGATCC